CAACATATTTAACACACTGACATTACGTTGAATAATCCAACCCGTACATTGCACGGGTAAAGACTAGTATTTATAAAAGTGAAATTAGGTCAAAAATTGTACAAAAAAATCGTTTCCATATAAAATTTTAGGAAAAAAAAAAACGATACAATCCTGATTTGCGAAATTTAGCTTTTCGTGAGCCCGGGTTTTAAACCTCTGCTTTTGATTTTTCAATTGGGCCGCTGCCCAGTTACGCTTTCTTTCAACTTGCATTTTATTCTGTGAATTCGATTCTTGATTCTTTTAAATCATGTTCTCTCGTAATTTCGGTCCTTTAATTTCAAATTGTATCCAATTGAACCTGTAATGTCTTCAATCTTCATTTTGTGGTCCGAAATAACTATTGAAAGATTGCATTTTAGTCCCCATGTTTCGCTTTTCACCATTTTTTTGTCAATTTTTGCTTCTTTCTTTCAATTCCTCTTTCATTCAATAAGTTCTGCCTAATAGACAAAATATACACAAGATCAGGTTATAATTTATCAAAAGAACAATGAAATGTCAATATTTTAAGGTTCGAATAAGTTTATAAAATATACTTATACTAACTATGATATTAAGAAGTTAAAATCTTACTGCTTATTGAACAAATTCTACCACACTATGGGTTCAAGTCCTTAAATGTTGGAATTCAGTTCAACTAGTTGCTGTAAGGGGCACTGCTACGACAATTGGTTCTTCAACTATGGTTTGTAGAGTAGCTTAATAGTAGGGATGTGCATGGTTCGGTTTTCTCATGAACCTGACCAAAGTGATTTTGATTTTTTTTTCTCTATTTTTCTATGTTGAGGTTCTCTCATAAACAGTTTGACAATTTTGGTCGCTGACGAAAACCTCACCAAGTTAGTTTTCTATTGTATTCCTTAAAATGTGTCGATAAAAATTGCCTTGAATATTTATAAACACAAGTCAAACAAACTTTTATCAAAGTCCAACTATATTTATAGTGTTTGTAAACGTTAAATTCGAAATATATTAAAGTGCCTTAACATTAGAGGATGAATCATTTTCCAACAACCTGCCCCGTACTGCAAGTGAGACCTTGTGGACAAGGTCTCTTTCTTTGGCCGACCTTCCTTTCGATTCATTGTTAGTATTTAGATACGTGTCTTTCATTATTGATTTATAATCTCTACGCTTAGGTATGTTTTGAAAAATTATTAGGATTTGGTTATATTCCTTTCTTGTGATGATAAAAACTTCGACACAAATTATCTTACCCGTAAAATGATACTCCATGCACACAAATTTGTAGACTTTGTCATAAAACGATATAATATGTAAACAAAAGAAAAAGAAGGAAAACTCGATATAGTGAAGTTTGAGGAATCTATTTCGAGAGTACAACTTTTGGTCGTAGGGCATTTTACAGGTACATTAGCAGTCGAAGTGGTTATTCAACAATTACAATCGTATCAAGGGATAAGAGACATAGGCTTAAAAAGAGTAAAAAAAAAATGATCTTTTATAAATATCGACACGTTAGGGTGTTAGGCTTCGTGCGAATTCCGATGTAAGCATCTTCTATTAGAATCCTCGTATTTAAGCCCACGTGTCAGTTAAAATGTGAAGTTGAGAAAAGATATTTCTAGAATTATTTGAGGACCAAAATCATTCATAAGAAGCCAAAATTGGATTATTTCAAGCATTTATGGTATTCAGTCCACGTGGTACCGCTTTGTACCGTCTATGACTCCATTCCATTTGATCATTCATTTTCCATCATCAATTATACGCTCGATATTTTTTTCCTATGTTTCCCTATATAAACCCGAAGTATTTCCTCTCAATTCAAATCATTTTTCATGATCATCCTCTCTAGTGTCATATGATATAGTAGTACATCTCTTCCAATTCCAAATAGTTTTCGAATCGGATAAAATTCAAGATTAATGGCGAAAGGAGTTGTTATTGACTCTTGGCTCGAGGTTGCACCGTTGCCTATAATAGTTCCTAATAAGCCGTCACATTCGCCTAAACTTGAGACAATCGAAGAAGATAGAGCAGAAGGGCATGATGATACGTTGATTGGTGATTTTAAATCGAATTGGTTCAATCAAAATATTTGCCTTTTTCTATGTGGCTTGTCTGAAAAAATAGTTAGAAAAGAGGGTAGATTGCATCTAATTCCTCGACTTTAGCATGGGGAAAATGCATTTTGCAAACTAGATTTTAGTGGCTTGTAAATTGTAATTAATAATAGGTAGTGCAGAAGATGGCTATTGACTCAAATGTTTATAGCTTGAGCTTGTGCTATCAAATTTCCTATTATCAATTTATGATTTGGGTAGAATAATCTTTGCTGAGCCCTGATTTTATTTGGGTAAAATGCAGTGTGTAATTTAGTTTCTTGGTGCAATTAAACTATGACATGATAAATAATATGTTGTAATTTTAAATTAGGGGCAAGTGATTTTTGGGTTCGGAAAAAAATGGAGCTCACGAAAATTCTCACATCCATATGGGCATAAATGCATCTTTAGACAGTGGACAATGTGAAAGCGATCACACTGTCACAAATACTGTTATTCGCATAGATTGTTAATGGTATTGAGTGATTGAATTTCTCAAATGTAGAGATACGAGTCCAATTTAGATGTGCAATAATGTAATGAAACCTAAACGGTCATCAACAATTTAGATTAATAACAAAACTCTACTGCAATATAGACTGATTATCATCTAGATTCTAGATGCATCTCATTATCCGTATGCAATGTTGTTCTAAGAATTCTACTTAGAGAAGGCCTTAACGTGATTATATTTTAATTGAGGCAAAGATGAAGCAAAAATAGATGTGAACTAAAAAGAAATTTCAAACGCACTAGTTCATCACGTGATAGTAGATAATTGATTTTGATCGATAAGCTTGTTGGTTCTAATAGAATGTTAAGATTAGATGGAAAGAATTTGGAAAATAAATAAATAAAAACTCCAAGTTCAATATTTTCAGTCAAAAGACAACTAAGCTGTTAACGAGATAAATGATAACAAAATATTAAATAAAAACCTATGATGAAATAAAGACTACAACTTCCTTTCGTTAATTAATAAATTGTAATAGTTAAAATTAAATTAAAACCAAGATTACACTTAAGAAAAATCCCTCTTCCTCACAAATTAAATTTATTACGTAAATATAATTTATTCAATAATTTTAGAGGAGAGAAAATGAGAACATGATGTTGATGTTGGATGTTGGATGTGACAAGTGATGCTCTAACATGGACTTAATTATGTAAACTGAAATTTAACACATTTAATAAAGAGTGACAAGAAAGATACGTGTTTCAATATGATTGAATAGAAACAACGAAAGTTGAAGGGCGGGCATTTGAACTGGAATGGACGGTGGCTAACGAACAGCCAAAAGTTCAAGCAATATTAAATAAATATTTATTACTTTCGACAATTTTTATTATATGCCTATATATTTTTAATTGAGAAAATCCATTTGTACATAAATGGATTTGGGAGAAATAATACAGAACTTTCACATAAAGGTGGGTCTCATGTGAATAAAATAGTACAAACCCCTCTCGATTGTGTCTCATCTGTATGGATTCTGTCAATCGTCTTCTGTACATGTAACATACTTTAACTAAACGAGCATGCATCAAGTTGTACTTAAGCACATTTAACGAATGAATCATTCACATTCATTGCTTGTTATCATATTCATTTGAAAGTCAAGTGGTACTTTTCTCTTGAATTTACTTCTTGACGCTAAACCCAGCAACTATTATAAACTATAACAAACTCATAAATTAGATTTTGGTTGAATGGATAATTTTCACAACCCTTTTAGAAACAATGAAGAAAATGAGATGTGTGTATCATTTCTGTTAATAATCATAACTCTTCTTCTTCTTCTTCTATTTACCTTTCACCACAAAAGATGAGTGATCATAGTTTTTTTATTTTTTTTTATTTTTACTGGGCAATGATATGTGACAGGGACAAGCGCTTGAATGAGATGCTGTAATTAGCCCTTTATATACACTAATCAAAATATGCATATTTAGAGCCTTTTGCTGGCCCTTTAAGCTAAGTAAACTCCAAAAGTTACTTTCTATATATTTCCCCATGAAACACAAACAAAAGCAATTATCAATATTAATGATTAATGATCATTTAAGTAAACCATTTATTGTGATAATCAAGTAGGTCGGTTTGTTGTATAATAGAACTTGTTGTATAGAACTTTAATGACGATTATGCTCGACCTAGTGTCTTTCATGAGGTAGAGCAAGCTCGTGGTTGCATCCTTTTCAAGAGACTCTTTCATCATGTTATAGAATTGGCTCCCATTATCATTTTTGAGCATGTACGTTTTTTATCTAAGCCTGAATTTACAATGTGATCTTATATTTTTTACTAAGCCTTCTCGACCTGAGTGAAGATATATAACTAGTATCACAAATGAATTATTGTCCTGGCTAACTCGGAAAACGTGCCTTCATTTGAAATGATCTTTACACGAGAATGAAAGGAAGAACCTATTGTATCTACACTCTACAACACCATACTTCATTTGGCATCATTTAGATATAGTGAGAAATTTCCATAAATTTATTTTGATGAGCCCCACTCCTCCCTAAGGCACTCAAGTAGAATAACATAATTCTTAGAGCCACTCTAGGGCCAAAATTTCATAATAAGCTATCATCCGTGCTTTTTCCTCTCACGAAAAGTATGGATGGTAAAAACCACACCAAGTTAAGTAATATTAGCTGCAAAATAAGAATTATTCTCAATAAAATTTATTATTGACTACATATTAGTAAAAAATAGGAACAACGGGAGCTTGTTGACTTTTCAAAATAAGTCAAAGTGAGAAATGTTCGTTGACCTATTTCTAATATATAAAATAAAGTTGAGCGACTCAAATGAAATTTCGACTATCATCTATTACCATTAGAGAAATTGCATTAAAAAGACATCCCCATTATTAAATCAAACACCTGGAATAGATTCAAGTCCAAGCAAAAACCACTAGACACTATAAAACCAACTCTTTACTCCAAATGGCATGTAAGCACCCTTAAAAACCATTCCATTCCATCACCTCAAAATCAACCTCAATGGCTCTTTTGTTGGTCTTCATCATTCTCTCACTCTCCATTACCCGAGCCGAGGATCGAGCTCACGGGCTCGTCAACGAGAGTCCCACAGCTATCTCACCGGAAGCATATGCATATTTTAACCCCGACACTCAACAGTCGAACACTAACAACCCCTGTGACTCACCAGACTGTTCATCCCTGCCCCTAGCAGCCACGGTAGTGCAATCTACTCCTGCACATGAAAGCTCATCGACTGGTGGAAATCCGTTAGGTGTCGGTGGCACTGCTGGTATTCCTATTGTTTTCGTGTTCGTCTGCCTCATTGCTATGGGGATTTACTACGTCGTGGTCAAAAGGCAGTCCAACTTGCGCCGAGCTACTACTGTTCAGCAGCCTCAGGTCTGATTTTCAGAGTGGCACGAGTACATCATTCGAGATTTTTCAAGCCCAAACTCGTTCTTCTTCTCCTCCTCTTTCTCTCAGCTTCTTCCGACCTTGATTTGAGTTCTTGTTGAATTGTAGGCAGCAATATGGTATGTTACAGATAGTAATCTATGAGCGTGTATTCAATACCTAGTACATATATTTGATTGTGCTTAAAAGCTATTTATTCTGCCACATATAAGTTACCTTTTATACTAACAAAACTTGCTTTTCTAAAAACAAAGTCTTAACGGAGGAGTTATTTTAAGCGCAGTCGAACACATTACTGGTTCAAGGGTGAATGCAGGGTTTAGAGATAAATAAAAAATAAAAAATAAAAAATAGATAAGGCTGGACTAAAGAAAAAGCAATATGTATTATACTAAATTTTGCTTGGATACATTGAAAATTTTTCCGACATACTTGAAAATGTGTAATTTAACGACACTCATGGTACATTTGGAGAGGTACAATATCAGATTAATAATAAGGATATACATATCCTTTATAATTTCTAAAACTAGCAAGGAAACGAATAAAAAATTGCCGCCACAGTGGTATAAGGTTCTGTTGATATGAGAAGGTGTGAGAGAAACCACACAACTACGATATCTTTGGTACATTGAACCATACGGACATAACTATCTTTCTTAATCATGTTCAATCATATCCAATCTAACATACCAAAGTACCCCATAAGAAGCATCAGTGAATGCAATTTATCAATTATGACAGATTTTCGACAATCTGTAGATGAAATTCAAGCTATTATTCATGTTTACAAGTATGCACGAGTTCGGAGAAAAATCGAAGGTTCAACGTAGAATGATGACAGCCTGAAATGTGAACTGGAACGACCCACATCAAAAAATCAGAATGTATATGCATCATCATTCATTCTACTGCAACACTCGAATTGAGAATATAAATGAGGAAAAACAAAAAAGATCAATTATATAAGCAAGAGCTGAAAATAGATGCCGAAGGAAAAAGGTAGGTATTTCAAGAATATTGCATTGTACAGTACTGTATAAAGCATGACATCAACAATGGACAACAGACAGACCTATTTTTTCTTTTTGAAACAGGATATTCCCAGTATCCACTACGAAGTACTTTGGCCTTGATGTTATGAAATTACAGAGAAACAAATGGAGAGACTATTGGTAAGGGCCTCAAAAACGAAATTGATTTTCATAAAGAGGTCATAATTATATTATGCCCAATATTTCTACCATCCACGTGAACTAAGAGACTGAATAACAGGTCCCAATGTCTTGTCCACTGCTTTGTTCCATATGCGAGCAAGCTCTTGACGAGACCTTCTTCCAAAGATAGGCTCGTGTGGCTACAAAATGTCGAACAGAAAGTTCTAGTCATATAGAAATAATAAAATGAATCTCACAGTAAAAAAGGCAAACAGAATATTTTAAGTAGCTTGAAATGGGCTCGTGGGACTTCATGCACCTTCTCTCCCCTCTCTGGTTAACATTGGACTCAATGGGATTGGTGCAGCCATAATAAGGAATATCATGCCCTATATATTTTTCCTGAGGTATTTTGTTAACCACAACTACTCTTTTCTCTTCCTCCATTATCTTTTATAATATTTTCTCCTAAGATGTTACAAATATTAAAATATTATACTAAACGTATTCCTATTTTCCCTCTTCACATTAATCATTGGACATTTCATTCTAAGATGCTGCTTTCAGGAAAGGAAAATAAAGCCCTTGTTTGAGCCCCATTTTTGTGCTAAAATGTATTCTAGAATAATGTTTTGTCGGAGAATGTGTGATTAAAAAGTAAGGAAAAATTTTGGATTTACGTGTAAAATTATTTTGTCGGAGAATGTGTGGTTGAAAACGAGTATTGAAAAATGGGGGCCAAACATAGGCAAAGTTTCACATTTCATATAAATAAATACACACATCAAGTTGGCCCCAATTGTAATCCATTAAATAAGCAAGAATTGCTTTCAATAGGATGATGTTATAATACGTTTCGAGACACCTTGTTACATTCACAAACCAAAACTAAGACCGTATGAGATGTATTCAGGAAACGCTGAACCAATGCTTTCAACATTTTAAAGTGAAAACATTAACTAGAATCAGAAGCATTCACAACGGAAACCTAAAAGATAAGGTAGATTGGCAACACCATATGCACAAGTGGGTTCTCAAGATCAGTTACAACTCTCACTTTACTGATTACCTCTAACTTCAACTCTCAAAAGGTGCTGCCCATTGAAAAACAATAGAAAATATGGTGTAAAACAGAATATATTTCATAGCCATCTCCGAGACTCAAAACTTATGCCAACACATTAAAGAAGTACCTTGTCTTTTGTTACTTTGTTTTTTAGGCATTCTGATCTCTTATGTTGGGTCATACAAACATTTGAGCACGAGTTACAGTATTTTCCAGTTAGCAATCGAACTTAAATACTGGTGATAATACTTGTCTAAGAATGGTAAAATCGTATTTTGATCCTTTTTGTGTGTGCATGAATGTGAATCTAAATGTATTTCTCCCCTGAATCTTTCATTATTGTGTTGCAAGAAAATTAAATCCATTGTGGGGGTCAACTATGGGATTACTTCTAAAATGGGTTGAAAATATTTTACATTTACGTTGCTCACTCATTTCTTAGTCAGTTCTGTTATTTTCTTCTGTTAGCACTATTGTTTTTCGTTAATGTGCCATGAAAACACTCATTCTTCAGAGTTGTAACATACTTCCTCATAGGAAAGGATGGCAGATTAAGAATCAACATAAAATTGTATATACCTCGTTCTGCTTTACACGCCGAAAAAAAAAGATTGTTCTGATAGGAAGACTTGAAAAGAAGCTAAGGGGGGGGGGGGGGGGGGTGTTATTCTGACAGGAAGACATGAAAAGAAGCTAAAACTTCAAACGGCATCTTTCAATGACATCGCGAAACTTCAAAGACAATGCATTATCTAAAATTTTTTACAACTCCTTAATTTACAATCTTGTGGAATTTTACTCTGAAAGTCATAATGTTAACAACTCAATCTTCATACAAAATCTCAACAATATTCATTACTTAAGTGCTTCTTTCGTTCATTAGGACTTAGGAGACAATTGTTTCGAATTTGACCAATTGAGCTATCTAGAAACAATATATTTTATTATTTCTTCCACTATAGAGTAGCTCGAGTCTGAATTCATGGTACACGAGTAATAGCTGCTGTTCTTACAACAGACATGAGAAATTTTGGATTTATTTGACCTTTTTATTCATAATACTAGCGCACTTATAAGGCTTTACAATTCCGTTGAAAATTGAAATGTACAGAGTTAGTTGCAAAATTTGCAGGTATTAATAGTTACATTAATCTTCTTTGGTTTTAAGAGGAGATTATAAATCATTAAACAATTGTCTCCAGTAATTATACACTGATTTAATCTCCAATCAAGTCCTTACAAGTGCAAAAAGCTTGCTCAACTTTTAAATGCGTTCAACACAAGAATCAAGACTAATTTGGCAAATTTAACGCCAACTTCTTTATCAATGCATTCATTTTCAGTCACGACAATTTCCAGACTGAAACAGATATCAACAACATAAACCCCAAAACTACAGTAATTAATACCCATCCAAAGTTGTCATAAATTTCAGCTAAATACAAAATTACTGAAACACGATGTACCTTGAACACCGACTGTAAAAAAAAGAATAATTCTGATGGATCATCACCCTATGTGGTAACAGTGGTATGTCAAATTAAATACTGGGACATGGAGCCTATTACTCTAACTCAATGCCATCTAAACACGATGATGGTCATCAGTGATGAAAAATAGCAAACCGACCAAAGGATAACAATAATAATTTTAATTATGAATTTTAGGTTTCAAGGATAAGCTTGATTATAACAATAATCGCGGAAAAAAAAAAAGAAAAAAAAAACCTGTGATTGAGTCCGAGAAATGGATTCATAAATGCTCTTCCGTTGCTCAAAAATCACAACTCCCGTTAATATGCTCCCCAGTGCCGCGCCCAGCAGACGCTCCTGCAAACATAAACATATAAATATATACATATATTATATGATACATAAATATGTATATGATTTCATTTGCGAGGACCTGAGCTAGAACGCTGATCATGGATTGAATCGAATTTTCTATCAGGGAACAAATTTCGTGATGCAGAAAATGAGAAAACTGGTGGATTTTTTTAAGGGTACGGAAAAAGGGAAAGGAAGCAGTGGAATAAAATATTTTTATCTTTTTCTTTTTTCTTCTTATAAATTATTGGTCCCCAGCCTATGACTTCTATGGCAAGTTAGTCTTTAACTTTTAAAATAGAGCATTATAGTCTGTAATCCTACTTGGGCAATCACAATAGATCGATGGACCTAGGGATGACAATCGGGCTCGTCGACTCAAGCTGCCAGTAGCTCAGCTCGAAAAAAGTTCAAACCCGCCTTGATCGGGACTTGGGTCAAGCCCCACTTTTAGGTGCCGAGCAAATTCCAAACCAGCCCTTGTGGCTCACCAGTTCGGGACAACCGAGCATATTTAATTAAAAAAAATTTAAAGGCAGCTTGTTGCTGCCAGAAAATAGACAGCAGGTGCTGCCTTTTATATATATATATATATCCAAAACCTAGCCCGGCTCGGAATCGAGCCTAATTTTTTTTTTTTTTTTTTGCCAAGCTTTTGCTCGACCCAGCTCGGACCCGTAAAAAAGTTCGGATATTTTACCCGATTTGAGCTCAAGCCTAATATTTCGGCTCGTGAGTCAGCTCTTCTCATTGATGGACCATAAATAATATAATAGATATAGGAAAAAAATGAAATATTCTAAGTGTACATAATGGATACCATAATGGTGTTCATAATGTCGAGATGGCGCCCCCTTATTGGAGGGGGTGCCTGTGGGCTCGGTGCCTCCTCCAATGGGGAGGCGCCACCTTGGGATTATGGACATCATTATGGTGTCCATTATATACCCCAAGAATGGTCCCAAAAAAATTGGCTCGTTCTATCGTAGCCCTCCATAGTTTCACTCTTGTTGGATTCTTTCATCCCCAAAATTTCTTCTAATCTTTTGATTTTGTCTCCATCTGACCATAGTGATCAAGTTTGGTTCAGCCATTAACATGAATAAACCATCGAGTAACAAAATCATGATTTGATTATTGGACCAATGATTCCTATTGATAATTATTGGATCACATATTTAAAATTTCCGTTTGGTCTCATTTCTTAAAATTTACCTTTTAAAAATTTTATTTTCAATCATATATTCTATTATTTCTTTTACCAAAATTTACTAAAAATCTGATTTTAATTGATATTAGAAGGGGCAAAATGTACTATATATTAGTTTATGATACAAGCAGCAAAAAGTCAATTCGCTTTCTTCCTCCATCTCCATAAAACCGAAATCATAGTCAGTCAGATCTCAATCAATCCCCTATTCCGATCCGAGTCAAACATACCACTCAAACCAAAAATGCCGAGTCGACTCATTCTTCTTCTCATGCTCGCCTCTCCCTGTTCGCTCTCCTCTCTACTCCGCCACCGACGACGAGGAAAACCTGAGTTCCCTCGAAGATGACGAAACCGACATCTCCTCTGAGTTGAAATACCCTCACTCTAACGCCGAATACTCTGATGATGAAGATGAAGAATTCGAGAATTACGACGATTTCGAGGCCCCGTCGAGCTTTGGTCACGAGGAGGACGACGACGAGATGGCCAAAATTGATGAGAAGGACGTCTACGTTTTGACGGACGGGAATTTTAGTGATTTTGTCGATTAAAATAAGTACGTGATGGTGAATTCTATCCGCCGTGGTGCGGTCATTGCAAGGCCCTGGCCCCGGGAACGCGGCTGCTGAGCTGAACGCGGAGAATGTGAAACTCTCGAAGGTGGATGACACGGAGGAGAATGAACTGGCGGAGAAGTATGAAGTTCAGGGGTTTCCTACTGTATAAATCTTTGTCGATGGGGAACATAAACTGTTAGTGGGTCCCTCCAATGTGGGGGAGACCAGACAATTTATATTTTAGAAGTGCAAGTTGGGCCCAATGGGCTACTATGATCAGCCCAGTTATTCTTCTGGTTCCGGACCAACGTGTATTTCCGACTATGGTATTGGACCATAAAGTGTGAAAACCCTTGTTCTTCAAAGTGTGAGCGGTGTGAGCAGATTTGAAAAAAAGAGCAGAGATTAAAGAAAGAAACCAGCAGTCAACTAGAAAGAGAGTCATCAAAGTTCTTCCTGGTGCTGACAGATTGTTTATCGTAGTTGCTTGGAGATTTTGGTGGTATCTTTCTCTTCCTTGTAATCCTAGGGTGAGGAGTTATTTGCTAGCCAAGATTACAATCTTGAGTATTTGTATGATACCATATTTGTCAGCCTCTAGAAATTGCTCCAGAGAGAATTGTTTATCTCATTTTTTGTTGATAGTGGAGGTCTGTGGTTTTTCTCGTTTTCCACATAAAAATCTCGGTGTCTTGATATTGATTTTTTTCTCTGCATATCAGCAAGTTTGTATCCAGACTAGAGTTGCTATCATCTGTTTAATCTCACGAAGAAAGGGTGAAATTTTACTGTTGCATATTAGAGAGTATTGGTGTCAACCCCGACAAAGTATTATCAAAGCTTCAGGTTTTTGGTAGTGAGTTTTTGTGTTGATAAAATTGATGAGTCAACTAGTAGCATGATCAAACTCACTTCTTCAAATTATTCAATTTGGAAGACTAGGATGGAAGATATTCTGTACTGCAAAGAGCTGTTTGGACCCATTGAGTTGAAAGGTGTTAAACCAGACAATAAAGGCGAAGATGATTGGAAGAGATTGAACAGGAAAGCCGTTGGTCAGATTAGACAATGGGTTGATCAGAGTGTCTTTCATCATGTAGCCAAAGAGGTTGATGCATTCAGCCTTTGGCAGAAGTTAGAGAGTTTGTGTATCGCACAGAACAAAGCCTTTATGATAAGAAGGCTGGTGAACTTGAAGTATAGGGATGGAAGTAGTGTAGCTGAGCATCTGAGTAGTTTACAAGAGTTGTTGAATGAGCTGTCTACTATGAAGCTTGAGCGTGGGGATGAAGTACAAGCTTTGTTGTTATTGAGTTCCTTGTCAGATAGCTGGGAAACCTTAGTTGTATCACTCAGTAATTTAGCTCTAGAGGGTAAGATTACCATGGAAATGGTGAAGGATAGTATGTTTAATGAAGAGGCAAGAAGAAAAGAACAAGGTACTACTTCTCAGAAAGAGGCACTTGTTACAGAAAAGCAGGGGAGAAGCAAAAGCAGAAAACCACATAGTGATGGCAATCGTGATAAGCCAAGAAAAAGGTCAAAGTCCAGAAGTGGTATAAAATGTTACTATTGTAACCAGCTAGGGCACTACAAGAAAGAGTGCAGAATATACGAGAGGGAACAGTCTAAGCAAAAGGAAGAATCTCATAAAGAAGAAAAAAACACAGGAGCAATTGCATCCAGTGGTGAGATATTTATTGCTTGTGATGATGTGTGTGTTAACCTTACATGCCAGGATTCTACCTGGGTAATTGATACTGCAACTTCGTTTCACATTACACCATGTAGAGATTTCTTCTCTTCCTATACCAATGGCAGTTTTGGCTGGGTGAGGATGGGAAATGAAGCAAAATGTCAGATTGTGGGCGTGGGAGATGTAGAGCTTGAAACAAACACGGGATGTAGTTTACTTCTGAAAAATGTTAGACATGTTCCTGATATGTGTTTTAATCTAATGTCCATTGGCCGATTGGATGAAGAAGGCTACCACAACTATCTGGGAGATGGAAAATGGAAGCTCACGAAAGGTAATCTTGTACTAGCCAAGGGAAAGAAGATTAATACACTCTACGGGACAACTGCACAACTAGTCAGAGGAGATGCAAATGTGGTAGAGAGAGAGACTTCCAGAGAGCTATGGCACAAGAGGCTTGGTCATATAAGTGAGAAAGGACTTCAGATTCTTGCCAAGAGAAAATTATTATATAACGAGAAAAGTATGACTCTATCACCATGTACTCACTGTCTTGTTGGTAAACAATCTAGAGTCGCATTCCATAGTCATCCTCCATCTAGGAAGAGTGATATTCTTGATCTGATTCATACTGATGTGTGCATGGTGAGTACTAGAAGTCTTGGTGGTGCACTTTATTACGTGACTTTTATTGATGATCATTCAAGAAAGGTATGGGCTTTTCCTTTAAAAGGAAAAGATCAGGTGCCAAGTGTTTTCAGAGATTTCCATGTGAAAGTAGAAAGAGAAACGGGAAGAACACTTAAAACTGTTAGAGCAGACAATGGTGGTGAATACAGAGGGCCATTTGAAGAGTATTGTCAAACTCATGGAATCAGGCTTGAGAAAACAGTTCCCAAGCAACCGCAACATAATGGTTTGGCAGAGAGAATGAACAGAACTATATGTGAAAAAGTCAGGTGCATGCTTTCTCATGCAAAATTGCCCAAGTCATTTTGGGCCGAGGCAATGAGGACAGTTGTTGATCTCATCAACCTTTCTCCGTTGGTTCCTTTGGATGGTGATATTCCAGATAGTGTGTGGACTGGGAAAGAAGTTTCATTGAAGCACTTGAGAGTGTTTGGTTGTAGGACATTTATTCATGTTCCAAGAGATGAGAGATCAAAGCTTGATAGCAAGGCCAAGCAGTGCATCTTCCTGGGTTATGTACATGAAGAGTTTGGGTACAGATTATGGATGAAGTTGTTTCACATTGATAAAATTCATACTGATGATAATGGGTCAGATATGATGACAAAACCTTTGTCCGTGGAGAAGCTTGAAACCTGTAGACAGAAAGCTGGCTTGGTGGAGTTCCCTACATTGTTGTGAGGGGGAGATTTGTTAGTGGGTCCCTCCAATTTGGGAAGACCGAACAATTTATTTTTTAGATGTGCAAGTTGGGCCCAATGGGCTACAATGATCAGCCCAGTTATTCGTCTAGTTCCTTCTATTGGAACAACGTGTATTTCCAACTATGGTATTGGACAATAACGTGTGAAAACCCTTTGTCCGTGGTGAGCGGTCTGAGTAGATTTCAGAAAAAGGGCAGAGATTAAAGAAAGAAACCAGCAGTGAACTTGAAAGAGAGTCATCAAAGTTCTTCCTGGTGCTGACACATTGTTTATCGCAGTCGCTTGGAGTTTTTTTTTTGGTGGTATCTTTCTCTTTCTTGTAATCCACCTGTAGGGTGAGGAGTTATTTGCTAACCAAGATTACAATCTTGAGTATTTGTATGATACCATATTTGTTAGCCTCTAGAAGTTGCTGTAGAGAGAATTGTGTATCTCATTATTCGTTGATAGTAGAGGCCTTTGGTTTTTCTCATTTTCCACATAAAAATCTCGGTGTCTTGATATTGATTATTTTCTCTGCATATCAGCAAGTTTGTATCCAGACTAGAGTTGCTATCATTTGTTTAATCTCATGAAGAAAGGGTGAAATTTTACTGTTACATATCAGAGAGCATTGGTGTCAACCCCAACATAAACCTTATTCTGGTCAACAAACGATGTGAGTTCCCCATTTCACCTCCATTTTTTTTTTCTTTACAGACTTCTATGTGTAAATGATGGTAAAAGTGAGTGCTCAAATTGGGGTATATCAGCTCTAGGATATTGTAGAGAAAGAATTACGAAAGATTTGCAGTTTTTCAGCATCAAATTGAGAACTTTGGAGTTAGATCAGAAATTCCAAACTCAAGGTTTGAATACGTAGATAGAATTGGGTAAAGATTTTAGCTTTAAAATTTTCTTATTAAAATGAACGAAGGGATTCGGATTTTGCTTTGTCTTTCTGCATTGAGGTGAGGGCTGAAACGAGTTTTCTCTGCTGATCAGATTATAAAACCTATATTGGTTAGTTAAAATAAATAAATAAATAAAAATAAAAAAAATGATAAAAAAACCTTGTCTCATATGATTGAGGAATATAATGCCAGTCAATATGGTTGCTGTATAAAAATATATTGGCCTTTTTTGCTGAGTGTCGGAGTCTCTGTTACTTGCCTGTCAGTTAGTATAGCTCCATTTTTAACTTGACATGCACTAAAATGTACTTTTGATGTGAGGGCATGAAATTCATCTCTCGAGTAGCTTTTCAAGGTCAATATCTCCTGAGCTAGCATATTAATTGTGAGAGGTGACATACTTCTTAGAAACCACCACCTATTTATCAAGATGGCCTGTTCAGAGAAATGCCATATTGCCATACAACTCGGGGTGATTTTCTGAGTTCAGAGTTGTTTTACTTCTAAGAATCGGAAAAAATTCATAGCCCAAATACTATGAAACTTCTTTTTGGTTTCTTTTGTCTTTCAGATTGGGGTTTTATGATTTCTCTAGCCAAGCAAAATAAATATTGTTCTAGTTATCTATTTAGAGTTCCCATGTTTTATATATTTATTTTGATAAGGCAATTTATTTTTATGCAGGGATGCCATTATGACCTGGATTAAGAAGAAAATTTGACCCGGGATATCCAACATCACCACAACAGAGGATGTAGAGCGCACATTAACTTCTGAGAGTAAAGTTGTTTTGGGTTCCTCGATTCATTAGCCGTATGTGTTCACTTGCTCTAGCCTTTTCTTTGATGATGTATTTAATTGATATGACAGATAATCACTGAATCGTGACATTCTGGTCATGTAGACTCCAAAGTTCTTCTGTCGTAATAACGTTGATAATTTATTCCTAAGCTAAATCATGTTTACAAAGCGTAGATGGTGCTGCTCTACTGTGACAATCAGATGTCATGTATGTATCTGACCCATTTGTAATCCTTCTCTCCTTCTAGAATTCTATTAGTCAAATTTGACTGGAGGAATATATCGCATGTTAGAAAATAGTCCCCATGATAGTGACTCACTTTCCTTCTACTGGGTGTTGGTCTTTGGGTTTTTTATCTTCTCAAAGTTACTCACGAGCTGTTACTTTTCTTCTATTCTTCTGCAGCTGATATATTGTGTATTGAATAAAAAGGTCTCTGATACCTATCAAAAAATAAAAAGGTCTCTGATACATGTCATCCTCTCGGTAGTGAGGCATACTTTATTGACTTGTATAAATATAATATCTAATTTTGTTATTTAAGGCAACGACCATCAGTTCTTTTATTATGTAAGAATATGTGAATATGTTTCAACTCTTTCAAAGTAATATGGGATGCTATTTCATTACACTGGCATTTTGCAAGACTTTTAAGTGGACCGTCATCTATATTTTGAAACTGGGTGTTGTTCTTAACAAATACAGGGCCCTGAGAGCGAGGAGCTCGATGCTGCATCAAAGCTTGATGATGATGTTGATTTTTACCAAACTGCAAACCCAAATGTGGGAAAGATGTTTCACATGGAACCCAGTGTTAAACACCCTGCTTTTCCCCAGACCCCTTCTTTCCCTCTCTAATTTATGCTCGTGAATTGTTCAGTTGGGCAGTTCACAAAGTCCTCGATAGCTAAGTTTGTTTTTGCCAACAAGCTTCCTCTAGTTACCACTTTTACCAGAGAAAGTGCACCTTTGATTTTTGAGAGCCCAATTAAGAAACAGGTATTGCTATGAGCTGTTCAATTAGCTTTGACCACTTCATAAAAATAACTGCTACTAGTAATTATGAAGACAGTTTTCTTATGGAGGACTTTAAAAAAATTAAAAAATAAAAAAATTGAGAGCTTTTTATGGAGGATTTTACTTTGTCCTTTATGCTTTCTATTCTCAGCTGTTGCTGTTTACCACATCAAAAGATTTGGACAAGGTTGTTCCAGCATTCCAAGAAGCTGCAAAACTTTTCAAGGGAAAGGTATTGCAAATTTCTAAAGAGTTAAAGTTGATGGTGTACTTGTCAATTTAGAGATGCTTTCATAAGAAGTCAATGTAAACATACTTATAAAAGAAAATAGAAGAGTCCGAAGTTTGTGTTATAGTGCCTTCAACATTTTCACCATTGGTGAAATTGCTTGCTATGAGGATATCAATGTTTCCCTTGCTCGGTTAATTGAAAATCTCAAAACATCCATTTCTTCTATTAAATCTCAATATTGCTGAAGACCAGTTGAAGTCACACACACTCTCTCTCCTTCCCTTCAAGCACAAGGTTGACTTGTATGCCCAAAACAAGTCCCAATACTTAATGTAATTCCAGATATTTGCAATTAAGAGATGTTATGCTCCACTAAGTAAATCTTTGAGAGATGACAAACATCTTTTTCCTAGATGGCTGCTGAAATTCCACAGTTGAAAAAGGTAAAGGTTAAAGGAATTCATCGTGAAGTCTATTAAATCCCCTACTTCATGTTGGAGTTTCTGAGAATCTGAGATATCACAAGTGATTTTTTCAAATCCTCAAGAGGTCAAAAAAGCCTTGTATCATACTTATTTGGGATGGATTCTCTTTTACCATTTTTACTTGCCTTGTTCTGTTTGATTTTAGTTTTACCTTATCCTTAAGTTTTGCATCAAGAGTTCCCGTATCTTTTTCATTATTGCATCTAGCAGCCCCCTTAATGTAGTAATACAATCTTAATTTTTTGTTCAGCATATATAACCATTTTTACTATCTTTAATCGACTCTGAACTATTATTGTTTCTTAATATGTTTTTAGTGTTTCACCGCAAATGCGTCTCAGTTTATCCTTTTTCTTCTCAAACACTGAAGAAGCAAGGCTTTTAACTTTTATTGATGAAAGCTGATCTTCCTAGCATGTGAATGGATAAAAATGATAGAGGAGCGAAAAAAGCACAACCTGAATGTAAACATTGAGCCTCCGTTTCGATATAAATTTATAAATGGTTTATAATTCCAATCAAAGTCAATCATTAATTTCAAACACGTTGATAACTACTATTTATTATTATCCACAAATTTTGTCGGCCCACTACTAGCTCTCTTCATAAACCATTTATAAATTTGCCTAAAGGAGGCTAAATTTTTGTTAGGCTTATCCATTTTCTTCTGTGGGAATAAAATTTTTTCTCTGTTACAACACATTTTTCCAACATGATGCAGCTTTTATTTGTACACGTGGAAATGGACAATGAAGATGTTGGAAAGCCCGTAGCAGATTATTTTGGAGTAACTGGAGATGCTTCAAAAGTAACATTTCTCAATGCTTGCTGCAGTTTCTCTACATTTCCACTGTTGCTTGAACAATAGGTCTTTTAATTTACGGTACAATGAGATGTTAAGCTGCCGATTTTCTTCTTATACGTTCTGGGGTACACAGGAAATGATGATCCTGAGAAATATGTTTTTGATGGGGAAGTCACTTTTGATAAAATTAAGGTTGTAACTCTAAACTGCTGCTTTCATTCCATTATTGGCTCAACATTCCTTCATCTGTTGAGTTATCAGAGATATTTTTTTTTATTTTTTTTTTCCTTTACTCACCTTTTCTTACTCGCAACAAATTTGAGCGGTGCATCATTCTTGTTGAAAATTTGTGGTTTCTGATTATTTCTTCTTTATTAGGCATTTGGAGAGGATTTCCTACAAGACAAGCTCAAACCATTCTATAAGTCTGATCCAATTCCCGAGAGTGTAAGTCGTACATCTTTCGTGGGTGATCAATCTATCATTTGATAGTGCTGATCATTTTTTTCCTTTAATCTTTTTTGTCACAGTGATGATGGCGATGTAAAAACTGTCATCAGGAATAACTTTGATGAAATTGTTTTGGATGGGTCTAAAGATGTTCTTCTTGAGGTATAATTAGGATTAGTAAAAATTTGGAAGCTACAATTTTCCTTTTGGATATTCTTCTGAGGTCCTTTCCTAATGTTGGGTTATAAATTCTTGTTCAGATTTATGCTCCATGGTGTGGCCATTGCCAAGCTCTTGAACCAACTTACAAGAAGCTCACCAAGCACTTGCATGGCATTGAATCTCTTGTTATAGCCAAAATGGACGGAACCACAAATGAACACCCCAGGGCCAAGGTATCATCATGCAAATTTTCCTCGGGCCCCAAGATATCCACTGATTCCTTTTCAAACAGTATTCTTACTATGATCGAAAATAGAGCATGTTTAAGAAACTTTTTGTTTCTTTTAGCTTTCTTTCTTTATCGGAACAGGATTATAGTCGAAGAGACCTTTCCTTAATAGAAAATTGTTTACACTTTTTTTGTAGGCCGATGGATTCCCTTCTATTCTCTTCTTCCCAGCTGGAAACAAGAGTTTCGAACCTGTGAGTAGTGCTTGAAAACTTCATTCTGGATTTTCAATGTTTTTGGTTCATTTGGATTGTTCTACTCTCCGCTTCCAAAATTATAATTCGACGGTTCCTCATTTTTTTTTTTTTTAAATTGCATGGTAGATTACTGTTGACGCGGATAGAACAGTTGTTGCATTCTACAAATTCCTCAAGAAACACGCTGCGATCCCTTCCAAGCTCGAGAAACCAACTTCGTCTCCAGCATCTGAGGATTCTAATGGCAAACGAGGCATTAAGAGCTCCAGCAGTGATGTAAAGGATGAACTTTGAATATTATATTGTAATAGAACGATGTACTATTTTGTCCCCAGCCAGGCTACAGGTAGATACAAGAGAAGATAGTGAAATAGAGATGGAGAATCTGAAGCAGAGACTAATTTATTATTATTATTATTATTATTTGGGAATTTTACTCATCAAAATTTAATAATGGGATTTCCCTTATTATTATGGAAAAATATATAAGTAATAATTTGAGTTGAGTTGGACGTCACTTCCGTTTAAATATAACGTTAATTATCCATCTTAGAAACATGCAATTCTAGAATGTTCTGATGTGGTGGCCGGTTATCGTATGCCACGTTCCTCTAATAATAGAAAGTTCACCAATTTATAACATGTCAGATTTGTCTTTAACGATTTGAAGGAAAAATGATTGAGAAGAGAAAAGGAATGGGGGCAAACGGGAGCTGAAGTATTGTCTTAACATTTTTTTGCTTCAAACGTAATGAATTACAAAATAAATTAAGCCTGTTTGGTCCGAAAACTCATCATATTATAAAATTTGATACTTTGAAATGGGGAATTATTAACTAGAAATTTCTCGTCGCAAGTCAGCCTGACTAGCTATCGATCATGCCTCTATCAAATACCATTCTTGCTCTTGCCATGATCCCACATAACAGTTATGCATTATCGAGTATCAATGCAAATATTTCCCCTAGCATCATAATTAAGGGCCAAAACGATCTTTTGACCGAGTTATGGGTGACACTTATTCCATTTGTACAGAAAATTATTCTACAGAATTGCACCAGAAATTTCACATTATGCAGATCCGATGTTTTGATAAAAAAAAAAAAAAAAAAAAAAAAAAAAAAAGCCAAAAAATGCCCCAACCCCCCTATTATGTCTTATCTATTGGCATTTTGTAAAATGCATTCTATACCTGCAAAATTGCTTTATGGGTGATGGTATTTGATGGGTAAATGTCCACGAAGTCATTATTATTTGCACTAATCATTTATAGCCTTAATTTTGCTATCCAAAAAATTAATTTTGTTCAAGTAATTGGAGTCAAACACGTTAAATATATAGATCATTTGAACACTGTGAGTGATGAAAAACATTACTCATAAAAATATGTTTAGTATATGAGTTGGTTAAGCGAATGCCGGTCTTTGGCTAGAGATGCGCCTTTCTTCTATTTTTTGATTATCAATTCTTTAAAAATAAAATAAGGTCTTTCTTTACTTCACTAGTTAAAATCTCTATTTGAATTGGATTAGTGCCCGCAGGAATGGAACCTACAAACAAGGAAAAAGACTAGCTTATTGGCCCGATTTCGAGCTACTAGATCATACCATACAAAGTAGGTGATTGGGAAAGTGGCCACAGCAGACCACTAGAGGTTACCCCCTATCTCTTAAATCTCTTAAAGGCTGTTCAAAATAAATATCTCTTTCTTTCACTAAAGAGATGGAATTCAGGGGTTAGCTCTGCAAATGTTGAAAGCTTTTGTACTGCAAACATAAGCGCAAGACATTCTTTCTTAACTGGAGTATACTAGTGTTGCTTGACGTTGCATATTAGAACTCATTAAAACCATATTCGCGTCATTATGTTTGATAAAAGGAACGAGGAAAGCTCCAATAGAAAGCTCAATATAGCCAAAGGCAGGTGAGGTGGGTAAGGGCATTGAGGCTTTCGTTTCAGGGAAGGGGTGGAAGACTGACCTTGATAACGATGTTTTAGGCTGGAGAGTCGGTAATTCAATTGGGATAGTAGGGTACGATGCTTCGGGTTCCATGTCCATCTCAGAGCCTATCCATCACAGGGAAGGAGGAACGTTGACATGACTTTTGCTTCCTATAGAATAGCTTTACGAGAAAACTACTTTAATTTATGTTTAAAAACTAATTTTTTAAAAGAGTCATATTTCGAAAGTGTTTTTAGAGATGGTGACACTGGATCATTAATTTTCAAAAACTCTTCTAAATAGATACATTTTCATAAAATCAATTAAATGAATTTAAAAGCAATTTTTAAATTTCAAAAATTTCTTTTGACTTCTCAAAAATAATGCCAAACAGCTCAAACTCAATAGATAGTGGACCAACGATTGAGATTTCATCATCCGCAGAGACAGGCAATACTGCACCAACAAAATTTTAATCAAAATCAATCATTACGTAGTTGCAGTGCCAATCAATTGCGGGTCACAACACAATGGATTTCGCCTTTCTGAATTCCACCCCCTTTCTGAAAGAAGGAATTTCATTTTATTTTATTTTTTGATTTGTTTTTTAACTTTTACTCGCTAATTATAGTCCTTTTTCCCTCGAGATACGTTTCCTTCCCATGTTCCCTCCTCTTTCCACGCCAAACTTCTATCCCATCCCAAGTGAACGCATAATCCCCAATGAATCCTTTTTTGCAAACCTATCATGAAAAAGTTTGACAATCATGTGTTGTCAAAATTCGAACCTTTAGTGTAAAAAGTAATTTTTAAAATGGATGAATATTATATTGTCAAGTAGAATAATGTCAACCAGTACTGCCAACAAGAATTGTACATACAGCATGACTCAATTTATAAAACCTCCATTTGGGCCCCCCTTTTTTGGGGATAATGTATTTAAAAATAGTAATTTTTTGTAGAATGTGTGTTTACAAAATAAGGAAAAATTTTGAATTTATGTATAAAATTATTTTATAAGAGAATGTGTAGTTAATGTGAGATTTCAGAATAATGGAATTGGGGCAACATGTTTAAGGCAAATTAGATTTCAATTTTACCTCTACTTTTTAGCAATTATGCTATATGTACAATCGTATTTGTACAATCGTGGATGACAATCTTTGTTGGCATTATCACATCTATCCATTTTTTGAATTGTCAAAAACTATTTTTAAAATCATTTGTCTGAATTTCGCCACCTTAGACATTGTCAACAATGCTTGTCAACTAACATTGTACAAATAGTTTAATTCACTTTTTAGAATGTTTAGTTAGAAAATGAACATTAAATTGAGTTGGTTGCAGTTCGAATTAAACATTTTTGCAAAATTCAATTATAAGTTAAAATGACATTAAGCACTCGTTTTAACAAGACTTTTGAAAAGTTAAAAGTTACTTCTATGATTAAGAATTTGTTTAGATAATTTTTTAAAAATATTTTGTCTTATTATGAGAAGTAAAAGCAAAAATCCGAGCCCTAAATTCGATTTTCCTCCTCATTTTCCCTCCCCTTTTTACTCACTTTCCTTTTATCTCAAGCAAGTAGAAACAAATTCCCCTTCCTAATCACGCCTCAATCCTACCCAACCTTCAAAAGTATTCTCAACCACGTTCTCTTCCTCTGTATCCTCTTCCTATCGTGCAAACACTCGCGACAGTTTGCATTTTCTTCTGATAATCATTGTCATTGTAACCTTGATCTAGATTTTGTACTTCTCTAGCTTTCTAGAACTGAATTTGATCAGTAATTACTTCAATTTTGCTTTTCAGATCTTCAGAAAACCATCGGAAAATCAGTAATGGCTTCAATTAACACTCACATTCAAATTCTCACTCTCGTTCTCTTCTTCACATTCGTTTTCTGTATAAACAAAGTGTTCTCTGCAGATCCGCCGGAAAATTCCGCCAGTTCATCTCAACATCCTCCGGCCGACGCACTCTCGCCTCCACCAGACCTATCTCCTGCAACACCATTGCAATCGCCATCTCCTGCCCCTTCAGCCTCACTTTCTCCCCCTCCGGGGCCTCCGCCATCAGGTCTCTCTCCAGCGCTGTCTCCGACATTAACCAATTCTTCTGCTCCTCACAAGTCTCCAACTCCGGCACCCGCACCGTCTGTAGCAGGCGACGCAGAGGTAAATGCGAGTAATGTGGAGTCGGAGCCGGACTCCTCCTCCGGCGGGTTGAACAGCGGACAGAAAGCTGGTGTGGCAGTGGCAGTTGTCGCCAGCGCGTGTATCGTTGGGGTCGGCGCGTTGGTCTACAAGAAGCGCCAGCAGAATGTGCGCCGCTCGCAGTACGGGTACGCCACCCGGAGAGAAATTCTG